TGACACAGGTGGTGACACACAGGTGGTGACACGTGGTGACAGGGACACGCAGGGCACGATGCCACCACAGGAATGGGGCCCCCAAACCCTCCCAGCCTGGGGTCACATCCTGGACTGGTTGTGGGGGGAAGGGGGGGCTGTGCCTCAGCTGCCAAGTGCCACAGGGCTTGGGGACATGGGGACAGGCTGTGGGGCACAAGAACATTGTGGGGACATGTGGGGCACAGCCCTGGCTGCCCATCATCCCTGGCAGTGCCACCTGCGCTGGTGGCACCACGGCTGGTGGCACCACGGCTGGTGTCCCACAGCACGCCCCATGGGACCTTCACTCCCGGCCCTACAGACACTTGTAGGGCACAGAGAACATTCCAGAGAATTCCATGGTGACACCTATAGGTTCACTCCCGGCCCTACAGGCACTTGTAGGGCACAGAGAACATTCCAGACCATTCCATGGGGACATTTATAGGTTCATTCCCAGCCCTACAGGTACTTGTAGGGCACAGAGCATTCCATGGTGACACCTATAGGTTCATTCCCAGCCCTACAGACACTTGTAGGGCACAGAGAACATTCCAGACCATTCCATGGGGACATTTATAGGTTTATTCCCAGCCCTACAGACACTTGTAGGGCACAGAGAACATTCCAGAGCATTCCATGGGAACATTTATGGGTTCATTCCCAGCCCTACAGACACTTGTAGGGCACAGAGAACATTCCAGACCATTCCATGGGGACATTTATAGGTTTATCCCAGCCCTACAGGCACTTGTAGGGCACAGAGAACATTCCAGAGAATTCCATGGGGACATTTATAGGTTTATTCCCAGCCCTACAGACACTTGCAGGGCACAGACCATTCCATGGGGACGTTCATAGGTTTATCCCGATCCTACAGGCACTTGTAGGGCACAGAGAACATTCCAGAGAATTCCATGGGGACACCTATAGGTTCATTCCCGGCCCTACAGGTACTTGTAGGGCACAGACCATTCCATGGGGACACCTATAGGTTCATTCCCGGCCCTACAGGTACTTGTAGGGCACAGACCATTCCATGGGGACACCTATAGGTTCATTCCCGGCCCTACAGGTACTTGTAGGGCACAGACCATTCCATGGGGACACCTATAGGTTCATTCCCGGCCCTACAGGTACTTGTAGGGCACAGACCATTCCATGGGGACACCTATAGGTTCATTCCCGGCCCTACAGGTACTTGTAGGGCACAGACCATTCCATGGGGACACCTATAGGTTCATTCCCGGCCCTACAGGTACTTGTAGGGCACAGACCATTCCATGGGGACACCTATAGGTTCATTCCCGGCCCTACAGGTACTTGTAGGGCACAGACCATTCCATGGGGACACCTATAGGTTCATTCCCGGCCCTACAGGTACTTGTAGGGCACAGACCATTCCATGGGGACACCTATAGGTTCATTCCCGGCCCTACAGGTACTTGTAGGGCACAGACCATTCCATGGGGACACCTATAGGTTCATTCCCGGCCCTACAGGTACTTGTAGGGCACAGACCATTCCATGGGGACACCTATAGGTTCATTCCCGGCCCTACAGGTACTTGTAGGGCACAGACCATTCCATGGGGACACCTATAGGTTCATTCCCGGCCCTACAGGTACTTGTAGGGCACAGACCATTCCATGGGGACACCTATAGGTTCATTCCCGGCCCTACAGGTACTTGTAGGGCACAGACCATTCCATGGGGACACCTATAGGTTCATTCCCGGCCCTACAGGTACTTGTAGGGCACAGACCATTCCATGGGGACACCTATAGGTTCATTCCCGGCCCTACAGGTACTTGTAGGGCACAGACCATTCCATGGGGACACCTATAGGTTCATTCCCGGCCCTACAGGTACTTGTAGGGCACAGACCATTCCATGGGGACACCTATAGGTTCATTCCCGGCCCTACAGGTACTTGTAGGGCACGCGGGCGGGCACGGTCTGCAGCTCCAGGCGCACGGGGCACTTGTAGAAGTGGCTGAGCAGGGTCTCGGTGTAGCCCAGCAGGAAGTAGAGTTTGTGGGGTGGCAGTGCCCGGCCCAGCAGGGCACAGATCACCAGCAGGTTCCCGCGGCGCTTCAGCACCACCTCGTCCGCCAGCAGCCCCGGGAAGGTCCCGTACAGGAACCGCCGCAGGAACGCGTCCTCCACCGCCCGCTGCGCCGCGCCCGCCTCGCCACACAGGTTCCCTGGGGGGACACGGTGACACTGGTGACACTGGTGACTGCCCTGCAGTGCCAGTCTCACCACACAGGTTCCCTGGGGGGACACGGTGGTGGCACTGGTGACACTGGTGGCACTGGTGACTGCCCTGCAGTGCCAGCCTCGCCACACAGGTTCCCTGGGGGGACACGGTGGTGACACTGGTGGCACTGGTGACTGCCCTGCAGTGCCAGCCTCGCCACACAGGTTCCCTGGGGGGACACGGTGGTGGCACTGGTGACACTGGTGGCAGTGGCCGTGGCGGTCCTGGCAGCAGAGGAGTTTTGTGTTCTGTGCCCCAGATGGACACCACGTGTCACTGTGCCCGCCATGCCCAAATGTGTCCCCCCCAACCCCTCACATGTCCCCGTGTCCCCTCCCCACGATGCCCATGTGCTCCACACCCTCCCGCTCACCATGTCCACATGTCCACATGTCCCACATGTCCCATCCCCACATGTCCCACATGTCCCATCCCCAGGATGTCCCACATGTCCCATCCCCAGGATGTCCCCGTGTGTCCCATGTGTCCCAACATGTCCCCATCCCCAGGATGTCCCCACATGTCCCCATCCCCAGGATGTCCCTGTGTGCCCCACAAGTCCCCATCCCCACATGTCCCACATGTCCCATCCCCAGGATGTCCCACATGTCCCATCCCCACATGTCCCACGTGTCCCATCCCCAGGATGTCCCCATGCTCCCCACCACACACCTCCCCTTATGCTGTCCCCACGGCCGGTGTCCCCCGTGTCCCCGTGTCCCCGTGTCACGCACCGGTGTGCAGGGACAGCCAGCCCTTGCGGTGCCCGATGTGGTGTGGCGCGTGGGCCTGCTCGTACGTCACCAACTTGTCCCCCTTGCCCACACGCACCCGCGCCGCCCGCGTCTGTGGGGACAGCGGGGTCAGGGGACAGCGGGGGCAGGGGACACGGGGGGACAGCGGGGTCAGGGGACAGGGGGGACAGCGGGGTCAGGGGACATGGGGGTCAGGGGGGACAGGGGGACAGCGGGGTCAGGGGACAGCGGGGATCAGGGGACAGTGGGG